CGATTACTGGTCTCCGGTATTGTGGATCGAGTTGGGAAGAGCTTCGTGTGTGTCAGAATCGCGTCATTATTGCATTGTATGTAGAACTCTTACCTCGCTCGACAGACTCGGGAACGATCTCTTGGACCTTCTTGGGGACGATTGAGTCCTCGCCGTCGTTCAGAGCATGGGTCTTGCTGGTAGACTGGCTGTTGGGGTTGCTGCCAGTGGGGTGGACCTGTGACAATGTTAACATGCTTCACTTCGTGGTTGGCAGATATAATCAACTTACACCTTCAGGGAGGCTCTCCTCGAGACCCTTGGGTGCAGCCTCCTGGACCTTCTTCGGGACGGCACTCTGACCAGTGGCGTGCGATGCACCCTGGCCATGCTCATTGGTGGAAGACATTCTGATGGAAGTTCGTTTGAAGAGATGTGATTGTTGGATGAAGGGTCGGGAAATAGTGCGGAGCTGTGTGGTGAAAGGCATTTTGGGATGGAATTCGATTGGTATTTGAATGATTTCGATGGAGAGCCTGAAGACAGCAGCTTATGTACGTGTGGATGGTGATATGACGCGTGTGGTGACACACCTAAGCCGCATCTCACTTGCACTCTATCATGCGCGTCATGAAAGTGCAGTCCATGTTGCTTTTCGTCCGATCACTAGTGGTGTTTCTACAGGATTGTGAGTGATTATCCGTGGCGAAACAACGAAAACGCCCTGCGTAGTTGTCCAGGTACCTCGCTTGTGTCGGTCAGCGGCAAATGATGCGGTCACGACGATACCAAGGACCGGTCCGCGGCGAGCCTCATGGTGCTCACGAGGCCCACGAAGCCACATTGCAACATGGAAACGCGATCGTCGTAGATGTCGACACAGTTAATTGCCTCCGAGGCGCCGACCTCCCAGATCCGAGGAGCTATACGAAGGACGTTGATGCGTAGGTGTAACAATCACCCGCGGTCGGTCTCCGAAGGCCCCGATCGCGCTAGTACGGATGCCTCTCCGCGGGCTCGTATTCTCGTATACCCCACAGGCCATCTTACATTGGATCTGTATCTTGCGCACTCCACCCAATTTACAATCGTCGTCCTTGCCTTTTATTCCTACCACCGAGCGGGACCAAGAAGACGTCATCTTTGGCAACTCATGGCACCATTCCAAGGTTCAGTCTACCTGCATTGTGGTCTTCACGGCCGCATAACTCATGTTGCCCAAGTCTTTCATTCGTACATATGTATGATATCCAAGCTTCCAACAATCACAGCTTCGCCTTGACCCAGCTTTGCACCACTTCTTGACTTCCGGTGCCCGAATCGCCCTTGTAACCCAATATTCGCTCCACGACCATCTCTTCGTGGCACGCTTTTGGCGTTACAACTGTAGTGGCCAGCCCACCATTGCTGCCAAAGCCCTGCGTGAACTTCTTTGCGAATGCCTCAATGCCATCCTTCAGCACCTCGTTATCGCCCACCCAAATCAAGACCTCTTCCACATAATCGGCAACAGGGCCCCACCACTCCGGAGCTGCGAGAACGGGTTCGCTGTAGAAGTCGCCAGCAAATGGAGAAGAGGAGCCGAGGAAGGCAGTCGCCCAGCGGGAAAGGGTTCGCGCGTCAAACATGTCGCGTTGTGCGTTCGTGACGAACGCTGGCGTGTTGGTCTGTGTCAAAGAGCACCATGGTGAGATGAGAAGCGCGGCATGGATCTTGGATGGAAGTTCCAACGGCGCAATCTCGGGATGTGGATGTGCGAGGTGCGAAAGCAGACCGAGTATAAGGTTTCCGCCAGCCGAATCGCCGCCCAGAATCAGGTCTGAAGGGTTGCGCCCCTCAACGTGCACGAGATGGTGAAGCAGCTCGACTGCCTGCTTCAGCTGGCTGGGATATCTGGCTTCTGGTGCGAGATCGTACGCGAGGAGGAGCGCGGATACGCCGGGACCGAGAGCCTTTTGAAAGTCATCGAGCCACAGCATATGGCCTGGTGTGCATGGCATCACATATCCACCGCCTGTTCATATCAGTGACATGCCCTTCATCTTGGAAAGCGGAGACCGACCATTGAAGTACACAAAGACCTTCTTCGCGCTCCTACTACCCAGCCAATGCGCTTGTGTTCCACTAGGCAGCTTGATGCTATCTGGAACGAACTTGCACTTTTCGGCATGCTGAAGGTACGTAGGCGTCGATGATGCGCCGTTCATGTACCGGTCTTGCGCCAGGTCGAGGTTTCCCAGATTGGTCCGGAACATGGCGAACATGACGTCCTTGAAGTAGGTGTTGGAGCCATTCTCGCCTTTGAAGGGTGATGTAACGGAGCGTTGCAGCGCAGAACCCACTGTCGGAGATGTTAGTGCTTGCTTTTGACCTGATGATGCAGGCGCGTACTGGCTTTGAGCGTCGCCGAAGCGATGCCCAGCTTGCTTACATTCTGATCTGCCATTGTGTTGTGATGGTGCTTGCAATGGCAGCAAGACGCTGCCAGCACCCACAGCACACTAGCTACCCCATGGCGCGCGTCTGAGTCTAGACTCCAGGGAGCCGTGCAAGTGCGGAGAGCGTTACCCGACGAGATTCCCGAGGTTCGCGTCCCCCACGCGTGCTGTCCCCGCGATCGATCAGGGCGGCGATCATCCACTAGGCCTGCTCCGGCTTAGCTTGCTGTAGGCAAAACTCATCGCAGCTGCAGTGTCAGGGTCATGACTCGAGGTAGGATTTGTCCATTTCTGTCCTGAGTCGCAACCCACACGCATCCATGATCAGCATGGCGTCGCCGGCGGAGGCAGACACGCCCGAAGGAGCCCCTAGAGACGATGGTTCGGGCGATGGTCAGCCCAACAAAAAGCGCAGGACTGGCCCCAACTCGCGTGGCGTTGCCAACCTCACGCCCGAACAGCTTGCCCGCAAGCGCGCAAACGACCGCGAAGCTCAACGTGCCATCCGCGAGCGCACCAAGAACCAGATCGATCGCCTCAATCAGCGCATCCGGGATTTGGAGAGCCAGCAGCCATACCATGACCTGCAAGTCGTCCTCCGCGAGAAGGAGGCGGTCCAGGCGGAGAACGGCGACATCAGGAAGAGGCTCGAGAGCGTCCTGAGCATCATCCAGCCTATTGTGCGTGCGACGGGTGGCCTCAATGGTACGATGACTACTCCCAAAGCAGGAACGAATGTTGACAGCAGGTAGAACTGGCAGCTGCTGCCGAGCGATCGCCCCTTCCAATCCATCCTCACCAACAGCGCGACGCGCCTGTGCAACCTACCGAACCACGACAGTACCACATCGCGTCCCACGAGCTATCCACGGCCTCACCTCAGAACGGCGTACATTCTCCAAGCGTGACCGAGGGGGGAAGAGCATGGCTATACCCCAACGACGCGCCAAACAGCCACTTGCGCCGCTACTCCAATGGCAGTCCCGGGCCGCATTTCGACCAGTCGCGAACACCCCATCTGCAGTCAGAGATGCCCTTTGATGAGCGTCTAGGCGTAGACTTCATACTGGACAATGGACAGAGGAGGGCTGTCGATCCAAACCTTCCCCCTCCACAGCAGCCGCGACCTAGCAACGTCAGTAGTAGTCAGCATGCCATGTATGCGCCGAGCATGGTCGCCCACCTCACGCTACCTCGCAATCTCCCAGCGACATGCCCTCTGGACGTCATCTTGCTTGACTTTCTACAAGATCGTCAGAATCGCGCTGCCGAGGGCGTACCTATGAAGACCCTGGTTGGACCACACTACCCCAACTTCACGTCTCTAGCGTATCCCGAGCGCGCAGTAGATGCACACCCCTTGTCGAAGCTCTTTACAGATATCTTGCGCACGTTCCCAGACATCTGCGGCAGGCCGGAACAGGTTGCGATAGTATTCATCATGTTCCTGATCATGCGTTGGCAGATCGAACCTACGCAGGAGAACTACGATCGGCTGCCACACTGGGCTACACCACGACCTTCTCAGCTGTTCACTGCTCACGCGTTATGGATCGATCATCTCCCATGGTATGTACTAAGATCTACTTCGCAACCTGTTTGAAAAGACATAATGACTGATCTATTCCAGGCCTCGCCTTCGCGACAAACTCGTCGCTGGCCACCCGCCAGTATCCTTCGAGAACTTCTTCATACCCTTCACGACTACCATTTCCCTGAACTGGCCTTATGAGCCCCGCGACTGTCTCCTCCCCGCTTCGAAAGTCCATACCTCAGCGCTCTCGACGACCTCCTCCGTCTCGGTCTCTTCGCCTTTCTCCACACATGTCAACGCCGGCTCGCCGCAAGATCCTTCCACTCCACAACCTCCTACGGCGCATACCTCCGCCGGTATCACATCCATGGGTCCGCTACCCAAAGAAGATGACCAGTGGCTTATCAACCCGGCTTTTGAGACGCATCTCCGCGATCTGAATAATTGGACACTGGGCCCAAGCTTCAGAGGCAACTTTCCCGCTTTTGCTGATTGTGTAAAGATCAAGGAAGGCAGGTGACGAGAATTGTAGATGCAAAACGCGCCGCGATCAGGCGCTGGCGTGCGGGACAGGAAGGTGTTTATCAGGTATTGCATGTATCTTTACTGTATCATTGGTGGGTAATGTGGTGGCTCTATTGTGTATTATCGTCAGCATTGGGTATTGTATCTTTCCAACTGTACACGCCTGGGCATGCATCAGAAGGAGCAGTGGGCTGGCTCGGGGTGGTGGATGTTTGCGACAGGCGATTTAGCATTATATCGGTATCATAACGACGCCACACGAAATCTATACCAACATTGTCTTAAACCCTGTTCTCCGGGAAAGCGCCTGCGTATTTCGATCACCACATGGAATACGCGGGTAGTCGTTTTGATGCACGAAAAAGCCTTGGAGCGTGATGCAGGGCCGCAAATGGTGAAGGTGAGTAGCGAAGTCAGTGCGCTCTCACGGGTACGGTGTTCTCAGAATTGCGGCCTCAACTTTGACACCAAACCTTCACTAGACTTCTGTGACGTCAAGATTAGCTTCCTCACAGCAACGAACGATGACCTCGTCTCCCATCGACCCGGTGCAACAGCACATCTTCAACACCCTGAGCCCCCGCCGCGGCGCTGTTCCTTCACATATCATCGAGAGCATGTCTAGTCTGGCTCCCTCTCTCGCTTCTTCCTCGAACGAAGCTGACCTACTTCCATCAGACAACATCGCTTTCCTCATCAAGTTCACCGCCGGCCCGGGCATACTCGCGTCCCAAATCTCCATCCCTGTTCTGGATGTCCGCGGCCCTCTTCGCAACAACACCGGTCGCAGGGCTACCATCTGTATCCACCGAGGACGAGGTGACTTTACAGTCGTGCTCTGGGCGCAGGTCAAAGGGAAGGAGGAGTTGATGAATGCGTTGTCTGACAAAGTAGACAAGGTCATCAAAGATGTCCTTGCTCACCAGGAGGATGATGGATCAGGGGACCTTATGGTATGAATGCCACGGTGCCAGTCACTGAGAGCAGAAAATGAGGGTTTCGGGAAGAGATCGTGTGGGCTGACCAGACGGTGTTTCACTGTTGGAGGCGTCTGAAAAGCGCTGCCAGATCCCAAGGCAGTCACGCACGACCCTCCATGGCTCACGCAAAATTGACCACCAATACCTGCTTGCACAGTGACGCAGACTGTGTTCTGTGTTCTTAGCGCAAACACTCCAGGCCCACCCTGCAGCCTACATAGGAATCCGCTGCGTTCAATACTATCCACTTTATCCTCCCCACTTTGCAATATATCAATCAAGCCGCGACCGATTACCTCATCATGTCAACTGATTCGCTCGAACAGCGACTCTACGATCTCCTACAGCCTTACCGCGAGGAGTGCTACAAGAAAGCCCCCAATACCGCACCGGCAGTAGAAGAAGAACGCCTGCTTCTCATACTTTGTGGTACGTAGACATTCTACCCGCTTCAACTTCACTTCTACTCAAACCTGACTCCTTCCCACAGAGAACATATCATTCATCATCCGCCATAACCAGTCTTCGTATGGCAAAATCATCGTTCCAATCGATATCTCTGTCGGCTCTCGCAACTGGTCCACTATGATCAAAGGTGGCGGTGGAATAGCTGGGATGGGAATCTTCGTCAATGGGAACGGGTATACACACACTGTTATGCGCTGCTGGGCGAGGAAGGAAGACGGGAAAAGCGTAATCGAGATTCTGACGGAGGAATGTGACAGGGCGCTGGCGAACTTCTTTCCCGAAGTGAAGGTGGAACCACACTGAGAGCGATGGGCAAGCGCGAAGGCAGTCACTGTGCTATCGAACTAGAGCGAAGACCGGCGAAGGGAGAGAGGAGGATCTTGAAGCACTATCGGCAATAATATGAGCGGTGAGGGTGAAGACTCGAGCTGTCAGTCTACAATTTCAGTGCAGTCGCGGTGTCTTGGCGTTCTAGTCATTGGTAGTTACCACTTTCCACACTTCTCTCTCCTTCCACAAATACCCGTAGACGATAGCCAACCTCCCGACGTCAACTCAAACAAGCCTACTTGCCAATGTCCACACCCCAGCCCGCAAACGCGCTCGAACAGCGCATCTACGATCTCATGCGCCCATTCCGCAACGAATGTTATGAAGCGCCCGACAACGTCGATCAAGTTGCCGCAGCCAATCGCGCTGTCAAACTCGAGCGCAGGATCCTCGTTCTAGCTCGTAAGTTCGAGGTCCATTTGTTTCGCGCTTAGCATTTCAACTGACATGTGGCCAGAGAACATCTCATTCCTCGCACACAACAACATTGCGAACACCGAGCAGACAATCAACGCCTCCGATATCTTCGTGGTGATGAGAGGTTGGACGGGAGACGGAGTGGCAAAAACAGGTGGTGCGATTGCTGTTCTTGCACGCTATCCAGAGGGTACTACGGGCGTTGTCAAGGCTACATTCGATGCCGGTGTCAGCGTAGTTGACGCGCTGTGTACAAAAGTTGACGAGATGCTTGCTGCGAGCTTCTAAAAGATGCAGCAACGGTTGTGAGCAGAGGGTAGTGGTGTTGGTAGGCAACGAACGATCGGCAAAAGCTGGCGAGAGTATGCGCTCCTTCAGTGGTTGGAATTTTACGAAATGTCCACTGTGATAGAACCCAGTACCACCACTGTCTTACTTGCTCCTTGCAATGTCGTGGAATTAAGCTCATGTCCCAGCTCCTGACGTGTGACGGGATGGTCTGGTTGCAGTTAAAGTGGGGCTTGCTAGTCTGAGACCCCAAGACATGGCTCAAGCTAGGTGTCTGACTCGTGAGCCTCATCTGAATGGGCTTTCACACTGTGCAGTGGGCGGACTAAATCGCACTATCGAGGTTTTCGCGCAAAGCTCCGAACTGAGCGCTCAATGCGTCCTCGCCCACTCTCGATAGAAGTCTAGGCACTCGGCGTTGGCAACACTCGCGCTCGTCTTGACGTTGAGTCCGCAAAGTATCTGCTTGACAGCACCTTCAACCTTTTTGCCGTTGGTAGTGACAGGTATCTCTGGGCACTCATCCACCACAGCTGGAACATGACGTGCGCTCAGCGCTTGCTTGATCGTTGTCTTGATCCTTCCGATGAGATCAGTAGAGATCTGACGACCGTCTGCCATCTTGAGAAAGAGCACGACAGTCTCATCAGTATCAGTATCTCTCCTTCGGCCGATGCAAAGCGCGTCCGCGACGTCTTCGGGGAAATGCTCGAGCACCACATTGTAGATCTCAGCTGATCCGAAGCGTACGCCTGCAGGCTTGAGAATGCCGTCACTGCGTCCGAGCATCCACAGTCCACCAGTTTCGGGATTGAATCGCACGAAATCACCGTGATGCCATATTGGCTGATTCTTCTTGTTGGTGAATTTGTCAAAGTACGACTTCCGGTACTTTGACTCCCCTTCATGGCCCCAAAATGCGACTGGCTGACATATGAAGGGCTTGGTGCAGACTAGGTCGCCTGGTTCGCCTGACGTGGAGACATCGGCACCTGTATAGTCATACGCAGCGATTGCCATGCCTAGACCGGCACCTTGGATTTCGCCTTCAAAAACGGGTAGAAGTGGGTTGGGTGCACCGAAGAGTGAGATGATGTCTGTACCACCAGTGATGCTGCCGAGATTGATGGTCGAAGGGAAGGCGGAATAGACGTAAGAGAACGTGGAAGGCGCGAGCGGTGAGCCTGTCGAGTAGATCGCTTCGAGCTTGTTCATCGCGAGTCCCGCAGCAGATGGGTCGATGGACTTCTGCTCCAGGATAGAAAGGTACTTTGCGGACGTGCCGAAGTGCGTGATGTCAAACTCGTCTATCAGACGATGCATTGCTAGGTCGTCTGGAACGGACGTCGATGAGTCAGAACTGTCTACATATCGAAACGGTGAGCCGTCGTAGAGTACTAATGTAGCGCCCGAGGCGAGCCCGCTGACCAGCCAATGCCACATCATCCAAGTACATGTGGTAAAGTAAAAGAGTCGTGAGCTAGGTTTTATGGAGCAGTGAATGATGTGTTCCTTTTTGTGTTGGAGCAGCGTACCGATGGCCCCATGTACGATACATTTGGGTGCACCTGTCGTGCCACTCGAGTAAAGGATATAAACTGGATGATCTGGCGGCAATTGCTTGAAGGTGAGTTCTGACGTGGCCTTGAGTGATGTGAACGTTGCGTAGTCGTAGGCTTTGCCAGACTGTACCGGGATAGAGGTGGCGTCGAATTCTACTGCAGCTACAGTAGGAAAGATGACGACGGCTTCGAGCGATGGGAGATCCCTGACGATTTCATTAACCTTGGGAAGTACCGGATGACTCCGACCATTATAGAAGGCCGCATTGTCTGCAAAGAGCAGGGTTGGCTCAATCTGGCGTAGTCGATCGAGAACGGCATGGACGCCAGTGTCTGGGCTTACTGCGGTCCATACTGCCCCCAGCGACGACGCGGCCAACATTGCTACCAACGCGTTGGTGTGGTTTGCAACATAGCCAGCTACTCGATCGCCTTCTTTGAGACCCAAATGTATCATGCCGGCCTGACATAGCTTCACTCTATCCCTGAGTTCCTTCCATGTCACTGTTTCGCGTGTAGTCTCTGTAGCGGCGATGACGGCGGGTGATTCGGGGTTGACTTCGGCGGTCGGGAAGAGGAGATTCTCAGCGAAGTTCAATGTCGCTCCCGCGAAGAATGCCGGACGGGGAAACATGGGCAATTCTTCATTTACGGCCTATCGTCTGTAAGTAGAGGCTACATGTATGGATCTACGATGACTGACTGATGTGAAGGCTCCCTGGTGTCGGACACCCACAAATTCCCACGTCCTTTGCCAGAACTCGTTGATGTTGTCGATGCTCCATTTGTGTAGTTGCGAGTAGTCGGATAGTTGCAGGTTGTGTGTCTGGTTTACTGACTGCAAGAACTGGTACATGGGTGTCGTCTTGGGAGAGGAGTGCTTCCAGAGAAGCTTGGGGCCTGTTGATGTGCCATTGGCACCCTTCGTGCCGTTCATCGCGTCGTGATCCTTGTGGTAGGTCTTCTCACCAACCGTAAATACCGAAATTGTGAAAAATTGAGGTTTGCGGCTATTGCAGGCTTCTGACAATTCTCGACGGTGGTCTCGCTTTCCCCGCGCCCCCATGCGATGTTTGGCAGCGGCAAGTTCCGATAGCGCATCACGAAAACATCGCGGTTCCCCACCCCAAACACCACAGCACCTCCATCGACTGTGGAGCCATCATCACGTCCGCTCCGCGTATTTTCAGTTTGGCATCTATCCTTCCATCGACTCACCAGGCTGCCGGTGCGTTGCCTACGTCACTTGAATAAGGCTGTGGGGTGTGTCCGTCGCGCATATGCGGAGGCGTCAACTACGCGCCCAGGCACCCAATAATTTCGGACTACGCCTCGACTCTCAGCAGCCCTTGCAGCTGTATTACAGCTACGCGAACTCAACAGTTTCATCCCCGTTATGCCACGACTACGAAGAATTCGGGCGGTGAAGGCACGCGACATGCGGACGCAACACGGAGCTTAGGAAGGGAAAGAGCGGCCAAGACATCTCCCTACTATCGCCTCGATTTCGAGTTTCAGCGCTGCGACCGGCACTCTGCCTTGGGGCCAAATTCACCGGTCTGCCAGGGTCGTTCGCATCTAAGATAATGGTGTGTAGAGAATGGCCAGCGCATGCCTCGCCTATCCCTGATGGGGGTAGCGCCTGGTCCTTGCACACTCCTCAGTATCGAGCACCTGCCACTCTATCGTCTGGCCTTCTACGTTTGTTCTTCGATAGTTCGTCTCAGGAGATTGCAAGTGTACTTGGTATACACCACTAGCGCTCGGGCAAATTGGGGCGTCGATTACAACCCTCATGGTAAGATTTGGGTGCAGGAACGATTTCACTCCTGTCGCGAATGGGCGTCAGGATCAGATGCTCACTCAGAAATTTCACGCGGTGGCGCCGATGTCTGCCTGCTTTCCTAGCGTTGAATTCCACCACACCTGCACGTGGAACTTTGTGGACGATCCTGTCCGTTTCGCTCCTCCAGCCTGCTTGGTCCATCTGAGAATCTTGGAACCTTGAGGATTGCCATGGCCACCTACGCTGAAGCTTTGAGAACATTCTCCATTGAGTAACACCGGCCTCGAATGAGCTTAACATGTGTATGATTGTACATTCTTTGTCGAGAAACCAACTGTAATCGCGTATTTTCAATACGAAACTAGAGGAGCCATCGTAAACCAGGTATCCAGGCGAGCTTGCTCCACCCGGCCCACACCCAGACCGACCCTCGAGTTCGCTCTGTCTGCTCCAGGTACAAGGATGTGTGGAAGATTGGTACCTGCATTAGCCTTTCTTGCGCCTCTCACTTGACCGCTACCCGGGGTAATAACGCGCGAACACTCGTATGGTCTCAGGCCACTAAACCAGATCACCATGCGTTTTACGATTCCGCCATCGGGTCTATGGTCCGGCCTACAGTCAGCCTCCCAGGGGTATCGCTAAGATTGACGGCAGCTTTGTTCAACGCAAACGCAAGTCTGAGGCCGAGCCATGCCGAGATGTTGCCAAAGAAACCGGATGCTGTCTCGACGCAGCTCTGGGCATATTGCTGAGCGTGCAGGCGTGGTCTGGTGTCGCAGATCATTGTACTCTTTTGCATGTCTTACATGCGTGCTAAGCGCATGCAGGCTGCATCCACTACCCTTTTATGTTCCCCACGCTCTCAGGTCATAGTGACGGGATGGCTGTGTTTTGGCACGCCCCATCCTAGCATACGA